ATGAGCAAAAAGATAAGCTAATAACAAAAAGGAAAGGAATTGCAATGAAGCTAGAAAATAAAACAACAACAAAAACTTGACATAAATACTACGAAGTTATGAAGCGTGAATTTTATGTACATTGCAACTTGAGTCAGACATCGTTCGTCCACTAGCCTCCAAATAATATACACACGACTTTACAAATGTATCTATTAGAAAATTTGGACCCACCTTAGTATAGTCTGTACAGCATGTAAAGCGCCACTGGGCTTTCCTCAGCTGGAGAGCACCGCGTCTTCGATGAGAGGTACCTTGGCTACTTCGAAGAAGATTGTATGGGAGTACTTGTTCCTAACTGTGCTGATGGCGGATTTTGGCTTCTTGTGTAGGGTCGCGTTCTGTGCGATTGCGATGGGGAGGATATCCTTGACGGTGTATCCTATACAACAATATATTTTGTTAAAACTAGAAATATTAAGTCCCAAACAAATTCTTTTATGTATCTGTACTGTATTTCTTCTAATATTTAGTATAAAAATACACATATCAAGCAACTGACCTGTATAATACTGTAGTGTCGGTGTCCAATTTCCGATGGACTTCATTTTGAGGGCCAGGTATAGTGCGGCGGCTGCCATTTTGCTATCCGAGTACTCCAGTAAGTTGTACTCTAGCAGACACTGTTCCAGCACAAAGCGCGCCAGAGTGAGGGTCGGCATCGACACTCTTGCGCACTAGAGATTAAAAAAACAAAAAGAGAAGATATTATACTCTTATTTTTAGCATATAACATAAATAAATAAAATTTTATTATTTGTTTGTACAGTGCTAAAAATAGTTTTTACCCTGGCGTATCTCCTGAGGAACCTGTAGGACAAGGGAATGCCAAGGTCGAAGTCCACCACACGTAGAATGTTCATCTCCATCTTGAGTAACTGGCTCAATGTGTAAGCGCCGTCGCAGATGTACAAGAAATCATCCACTAGCGGGGGGATGCGTTCCTGTAACAAATATAAAATAAAATACATTGTGATGGTGTTTTTCTGACCTAATGTGTTAAATGGCAACTAAGTTTCCTAACATTTGGTATCACAGATAATCAGTTACAGAATAGATGGTAGCACAACATGTAAACATGGCCAAAGATCATTTTAAGGGAGGAAGGGTTCAGACTACATTTTAATGAGGGCATTAAAAATTATTTGCTCATGCAACCAATACTCATACATTCAACTTAGTCAACTCACATCAAACTTAGACGCAATAAAAAGTGCAGAAGCACCAAGAAGCTGCAGTTCTTCCTTTGTTAGATGCTCCTTCTCAGGCTGTGTCTTGGAGGAACGTGTCAGGAACAGGTCCACCAGCTTCACGGCAAGGTAAAGAGTCTCATGGTTCAGTTCAAAGCTCTCCTGGACTTCCACCATCCAGTCAACAAGAAGGGCTCGCATCCATGACGTGATTCCTTTCATCCTTTGAAGATAGTCGTCAATGGGGAAAAGGCGCTAAAAGATAGATTAAAAATCACACATTAGTTTGCTTATAAACTTATTTGTAAGTAGATATTTATTTTGTTTCTTCTAGTGATATAGCGGCAAACGAACTGACATCATCATCTTATGATAAATGACGCCGATAAACACCCTGAATACCCACAAAACTAGAGGAGTTACGAGTCCATTGCTGGCTTTTTACGGGTAAGGTATTGGGGAGAAGGGAAGAGGTATGATTGGGCCTACCTCAATCATATGGCGAAACACAACAATTATTATATTCTGCCTTTCATTTTAACATTTTTATAGGGTAGGTCAGCAAAAGAGCAGATGCACCACCTGATGGTAAATGTCGACGCCTAACACCAAAGTAGTAAATGTGTTGTGTTTGTGGACTGATAGGGATTTGGAAAAGTGGCATGGGTTCACCCATATTGGGCTTCGGGGAACCTCACTTACCAACTACAATTTATAATGAGTTTTATTATTTCCTGAGTTACTAATACTTACTTCTCTACTCTTTAAGTAGTTGAATATATCCATAGCATAATTGGAGACCTGGAAGGGATCATTCCAGTTCTCTTGGTCAAAGTCTGGAACATCAGAGGGTGGCTTGTGGGGCACCTCAGTTTCTTCATCCAAAGACCGGATAGTGTCATCAAGATTCACCTTGTCTAGTTTCTCACTTATAGTCTTATATTCCTCCTTTGAAGTTTCTGATGGGCTGCTGCAGAAATAATAGTTGAGTTATATATAATTAATTTGTATAGTTAAAGTTCAAAAAGGCACCATGTTATATGGTATTGCATCAGACAACATAAATAAATGTATCACTTCTGCAATAATATCTATTTTAACATTGAGAACTTTTTATTTCAGGATACATGTAATCTATGGCACAAGTAGAAATAAGGTATTTTTTTAGAATATATATTATTGTAAATTGTTATGAGTAATATGTAATACTAATTACTCATGCATTTCATTCTAGAGTATAGATAGGAGTTTATTAAATGCAGGCATATAGTTGGTGATCTAGTTTTGTAAAAAAAAATGGGTCACTCAATTAAGGTCAAGTAAATTGACTATTCGAGAAATCTGTTAGATTACATCTCATGGACTCTAGAATATGCACCGGAGAAACTCGCCATTCATAAATGGCGTAATGATTATATTTTTTCGATTTGAGTTCATAAAAAAAGACAATTTAATCAAAACCTATCACTTTGTTTTTCACCAAAACTAAGGATCATTAGAAGACATGAAGCCAGGTTTTGTTACATTCATGTTAAGAAACAAAATAATTTAGCTCTGACCTACTAAAGGAACTGATATGAGTTCTGATAGTATTCACTTCTCTATTTCAAATAAATACTCTAATTAATTCAATCAAGCATACCCAGCTGGACTCCATTGTTACACATTCATACAACCTTCCTTGTACTATGATGAACTTTAAAACAAAAATGTAGTGTAATAAAAGAAAAATGATAACTAACGTAGTTTCTAAAGCTGTCATGTACAGGGATGGTTCAGAGACATCACTCCTAGCAGACTTGGCTGAGTTCTGGCTCTGGTTCTGATTAATACTCTTATCTTTCTTCTGTTCAATATTCTTGAGGATGCCATTCTGTGCCCGAGTAGCAACTGGCTTCACCGGATCCTTGGCAAAGTGCTTCTGCACTGCATCTATGGCATTTGTTGCCACTCTTTGCAATGTTTTAGCTTTGGAGGTCTTGCCATTCAAAGTTGTCTGTGGCTTGATGCTCTAAAAGAAAATCCTTAGTTAGGATAAATAATATATTTTGCAAAAAAAGTACTTTGAAAAGGACACCTAGTAACTTGGTTACTATAAAGATTTTTGTTTATAACAATGCTCAAGTTAAATATACTGCTGTAAGAAGCTGTACTGTTGAATAAATGTAAATAAAACTTTTGTTAAACAATGATAAAATAAAGTTACAAATAAACTTCATTATCTTTGCAGATTTGTTTGATCTTGGCCTTATTTATTGAAGTAATTAAATTATTACCACTGTATATAGCCCAAAATGTCGGGAAAGATATCAAGATCTATAAATTGACACAGTTAGACATTTCATCCAAATAAAATGGCACATTCTGCAGATTGTCAGTTTTGGAGGGAAAGTTCATTGACCCATGTTATACTTGCAAATTCGATACCTAACATTGCATAATTAAACCACGTGAACATTAACGTTTTTATTCAATATAACATCATTGTAGTTCTTAGGAAATAATGAATAGAAGTACCCTCTACTAATAAGTTCTAACAAAAAGAAGTGCTCAAACCTTTACAGTCGGTAGCATTTTACTTTCCACAGTAACCTTCTTCACCCCCATGACTTTGTCCTTATCCTGGAGCGCGGTGGTCTTGTTGAAAGCGTTGGTAATATCACCAAACGCTGCTCGCTTCGCCGTAACATCTTTTAACGGGCTATCAGCTTTCCTCTTGTTTGGAACCTTTAAATTATCCTTATGGGTTTTCAGAGAAGCTAGTTGCTTACTCCTCGTCGTAATTCCATGCCCCAGTAAACCATTCAAGTTCTCATTGACGCCGATCGGCTTTGATGCCAACCTTGTTGGCGCCATTATGGAGGTACTGAAACAATTCCACAAATATCACGTGCACTCATTAACGTGGTAAATTAACACCGTTTTATAACTATACTATCCACAAACTTGTAAATTATTATGTAAACGTAAACAAGCGTTTCAAAATCGTCACGACTAACGACTGAAAATGGAGGCAAAACAAGCGAACATCGACACAGCGTCAAACGGTTATCTAACGTTTATTTTGTAATTTGTACTCACATTTATTTAACGGCGGTAGCCGTTTTGATTGAATCGTGGTTACTTTAGAAGTTACACGGCCTAATATTAATTTTCAAGATGACTTTTTCTGTCTAAATTTCAGATAAATTCAACAAGACACCGGACTGATGAAACGTCTTCAAAAACCGTTGAATTACTTTGAAATTTCATTGGCCCAACGGTAAACCAATGGAGAGGGAGGGTGCAATTAAACATTCCGTTCCACGCTCTACAAAACTGCCAGTCGTTTGAGGTTCAATCAATTGTTGTTCATTTCCATTTTTTGTTAACAATTATTAAAACCTATGCACTCATTTACTTCGAAATTATTATACATTTTGGTAAAAAATAGAAAGTGATACAAATGCCCAAAGCTAATTTTGATTTTTTTTTTGTAAAATGTACGAGTTGTTGCAGTAATTAAAGGAACGGTTATGTCAAAACATAAAAGATTTAGGGGCGCGTTCCAGAATATTTTCAGCATTTACAATTTATTTGCTATTATCGAATTATAGTAACAAGACTTTCAATACAGCACAAATATTACCAATTACGAATCTAAAATCATTAAAATTAACTATCCAATGTTATTTAATTTTATGTGTTTCTAGTAAATTCGTAAAAAACACTATTTCCTAAAATATTTCCTACAATAGAAATGATTAAATGCTCAAGATTGAAGATTATAGAAAGAAACGCGATTGATAAGATGTGGTCATTGTACTTGCTGTTTTGATTTCTAATTAAAATAATAAAGTGATAACAATAGAATTGTTTTTGGAAACTCATTGGATCTTATGAAAATATTACAACACCCGAATTAAAAATGTTGGGAGGAGTTAAGCTCAAAGTGATTTTCACGCACGAAAAAACTTGCTTCGCTTATATCAGTCCAAAGTACAGTACAAATAATGAACAGGTAATAAATCAGGAAAATTCATCATGAGCTAGACCTTCCAAGTATTATAACCAACTTTAAGCCCCAAACAATAATTTATTCTGATATGTAGTATTTTTTGTGTAGGTTAGAATGTTGTTTACAATACACAAATTCTTGATTTATCATTGTTTTGTAGAAATTATTGCAGATGTAAATTTATAAATTTTATTGGATTTGTTTTAATCGCCTTAATACTACCCACCGACCGAGTTAAATTCCCTAGTTAGTGTTTAATACAAACTGTTTATTTTTTTCACAACCTTGTTATGACATGACAAAGTTAATGACCCTGAGCTAAAATAATTTGCTAAACGTAGTGGTTATATACTCTTTGTAATTTGCTAGCTTTACTGTAAAACTATTCATCATACATTAGCCTCTCTTGCCGACAATTTTACTGCACAAGCAAAAATACTTTTTATAATTTAGAAAATGAACTGTGTGTAGGTAAACTTATTCCAATAGGTATAGTTTGATTTGAGAAGAATGTGGAATATTGTGTTTATTTTTAATGTAGTAATTGCAAATGCATTCAGTGGATACTAATTTGTATATAACATAAAGAATATGTAACCATAGATGAAAACACTATTATAATCAATCATTCAAATGCACATCATATCAACAAATCAGTTTGCTATTTGTAAATTTCATTTGTCATAATATTCAGCCAATTTGCTTTAGACTTTGTGTAATAATACATCTAGTATACTAGTATTCATTGTATACTCATACTTTAACAATGTAGGTATAGTTTGCAGACTTATTTAGTAGGTATGCAGGTATCAAAATAAAGATTGGCTCAGTACAGAGACAGTATAAATCCATATTGTTGTATAGTTTGGTTAGCTCACTAGCCAAACAATGGTAACTGGCTGTTTACTAACTGTGCAAATTGTGTATAATTAGGATCTTATTTTGATTAAGTTTTCAACTAGTAATAACCTCATTGAATAATATATCTTCTGATTTATTTTTTTGTGAGATCCAAGTTGGTCATTCATGTCCCTGGGACCCGCAGTTCCGTGATCCGATATTTTCATGGATGTATCTACTGTAGATCCTGGCTAACAGGAGTTGCAACGGTTATGGAAGGTTGCAGCGAGAATGTCTCAAAAATAAAAATCTCATTAAATGGCTTTGTTTTTATTTGCATTCGCTCAAAATTAGGCTAGGCCTGTATCTTGGGCACATAGATATAATATGGTGTTGCAAAAAAAAAGAAAAAATATTGACTAATTGACTTTGACTTTTCAGACTCAATGTGTCCAAGTGCTGTGCAGAGAGAAACAGATCCTTTTATGGGTGGTTTTCAACAGTGGTGTATCAGAAGGTCACATAGCTTGCAATCCTATATATAGCCGGATGGTGGGGCTTGAGGAGGGGGCAGAAGTGTTTGTGTCACCATATTCCGACCTGAAGGTCTTAGATGAGCTATATGTGGAAACTGATAGCCCTGATGATCAGGAGATACTGGTAAATTGCATTTTGTTTTTATTAGAGCAATGGCACACAAACAAGTCAAACTTGCAGATTTTATTTGCCACTTATATAACAATAACTTTCAAAAATAATGATAATTATTTTTGCTCTATTGTACTCATGACTGCCAAAAATATTGACATAAGTACTTAAATGTTTACTTACTTTCTAGGATTATTACTTTTTTGGCACATTAAGTGAATTTTGGCTAAGAAATTTGGCCATTCCTCGCGGTGGCATTTTCTCCCTAGTTATAATAATTATTGTATAATTACACGTTTCAGGAACACAATGTAGAATTATTACAAATGCGCATATTAGATCAGCTGCGGCTCGTTGTATCCAATCAGAAGACAGTGGTATGGATATCAGCTTCATTACCTGTAGTTTTTACACCAAAACAGACAGGCATTCTAGTCAACCATAGCCAAATTATAGTCAAAATGGATGCTTTTAATAGTCTTCATAACTACCCTTCATTACCAGTTCCACCACCAAAAGAAAATGAAGAATTTAAGAACATAGGTGTTATAAACAAAGGCATGCTGGCTCCATATCTGAATGCTCCAACAAAATTGGTGCTCAGAGCTGTCCCTATCGATAGTGATGGCAAAAAGAACTTGATACATCCATACACAGTATTCATTCATGAGGATATCATTGAAGAGAAATACAAGAACTTAACCATAATTCTGTCTACAATGTCTAGCATACCTTCTATTTTAAGCAATGATGATGATAATGAGAATAATAATACACCAATCAATGATGTTGGCGTTGAAATAGTGCCTATAGACTCAGTGATCTACAGAAGTTTGTGCAGAGAAGTGCACAATAGAAACATACCAACTGTACTTATTCCAAAGTCCTTGAATGCCATAATTAATATTGAAAATGGGATGAGAATCATCTTCAGTATAATTGGAGATAGTATAGACCAGCCAGATCACATTGATATAGTCACATATTCAGACCAACAACAGACAGAAATGGATATTGTAGAGAAATTCAAGAACTGTGTCATAAGCAGCACACATTCAGGCAAAAAGTTCCTAATAAATAATGGTTTGATTAAACAAAATACTGAAATCTGTAGTGGCTACCTCCAATTTAAATTAAAACCGGAAAAAATGAAATTCACCATGCTCAATTCTGAATCTTTTAGAGCTTGCAGCATAGCAGCTAAATGTTTAAGTGACACGGACATGGCCTTACCGAAATCATTAATTTCGAAGTTAGATTATGACTATAAGTATTACTGTAGAACAATGAAATCTATGGAGGATTTAGTCCAAAAGGTTTTAGCGCATTTAAACTTCGAGATACATAGAGAGGCAACTTTTAAAGGTGTGTCAGAGATCAAGAGTAATGTTTTAGTTACTGGTAAGTTATTGACACTTAAAAACATTAATATTCCAAGTTTATAAGTCTATAGTCTATACTATCTAATTACTAGTAACTAGTAGATAGTATGTGTTGCATTCGTCCGTGCGTCACTGCAGGGGTGCCAACTGAAAATCAGTGTTGGGTGCTCCGTGCCCAGCTTTTGCTGAGTTGGCGACCCATTCAGATTGGGCATGTCCGCCAACCCAGGGTTGTATTAATGTATTTTGTTAGGCTGTTTTTACGTTATTGTTTTGATTAATTTTATTTTTATTTTATTTTGTTGTCCTGTTACTTCAAACTTTTATTGTTATGTTTTTTTTATTGTTGTATTTTTTTTGTTTGTTCTTGGCCTTCATGTCTCGGTCCGAATAAAAACAGTTTTCTTTTCTTTCTTTCTTTCTTCTATCTAAGTACTAAAAGCCTTGTTGATCTCATTTGCTAATCTGATCCACTGTAAATAAAATAGTAAAAAAAGTAAATATTAAAAATTATGTTTCCTCATTCCAGGTCTTAGTGGCACTGGCAAATCCTCATTTTGCCAAATAATTCAGAAGGAACTGACAGTTTGGACACACATTCTTCATTGTCGTTCTCTTAGAGGTCGGAAGGACGTATCCGAGGTCCTTGGCAAGGCAATACTGATGTGCCAGGAGCATAGTCCAGCGGTCCTGATATGTGATGACGTTGATGCACTGGTGCCACCCAATGTTGAAGGTGCTTCTCCTCAGGATATTGCATATTATCAGAGGTAAGGATACATAGATAGATGAAGAATTACTAGAGTAAGCCGTTAAATGTTACAGGTTTTTATACAATGGGTAACCTTTTGGCACTATTATGTTGCAAAAATGTTTTATCGGACTGTATGAGCTTTCGATCGGCAGAGTTTTTGGCATAGTGTATTTTTACAAACATAGGTTAAAGAGGTTATGATGTATGATTTGTCAATGTCTATTACACCTGTTTTAGTTTTATAATGCGAGCTTCCTTGAAGATTACAATTTTGGCTCAATACAGCCAAATTTTCAGTTTCCTAGAACCACTACTAATGATAGGTGACATTAATATGAGTTAAGCTGATTAAAAAAATGGTGACTTATTCGAGTATTGCTATAAAATCTATATATATAAAAGAAAGTCCTGTTAGTTACACTATCTATAGTATAACTCAAGAACGGTTAAACCGATTTAGCTGAAAATTGGCAGGGAGGTAGTTTAGAGCCAGGAGAAGGACATAGGATAGGATAGAGTAGGTAGAGTAGGTAAGGTAGATTAGGGTATGTAGAGTAGGGTATGTAGAGTAGTGTAGGTAGAGTAGTGTAGGTAGAGTAGAGTATGTAGAGCAGGGTAGGTAGAGTAGGGTAGGTAGAGTAGGATAGGTAGAGTAGGGTAGGTAGAGTAGGGTAGGTAGAGTAGGGTAGGAAGAGTAGGGTAGGTAGAGTAGGGTTGGTAGTCAAATGACGGGAGCGACGCCGCGGGTAAGAGCTAGTATATAATATAGCTAAAAAAATGATTATTCAAGGATTATTACAATATTTTTGATTTTCAGGTTAGCAGTGGTCATAAAACACTTGCTGCAGACTTGCGCAGGTGTGTGCGTGTTGATGACGGCGCTAAGTACCAAGGACCTGCACCCAACGTTACGACAGTTCAGTGGGAAGCCGTTGTTCACTGCACAATTCGATATTCCTGAGTTAGAGAAGGTTGGTTTATAGAAAGAAATTACATTAGTTTTAATTGGCCCGTCCTGGGTGGGGCAAGAGGAGTGTTAGTCCTCAGTTGACCTGCTCCAGACCGGGGCTGAGGTATTTTATTGTGCTTGACCCGCCACCTTGGCGGGTTAAAAGTTAGTTGGAAGTGACTTTAGTTCATATTTAACCACAGTTTAATTGATAGTCAACATTAAAAGAGGATAAGTTCGCTATTTCGTAAGTATTGCTAACTAACTACTCCGGGAACAGACCTCGTTTCAACGAAAAACTTTCAGAAGTAAAATTTTAATTGAATGAACGAATAAGTTACCTGACATACTTACTTTAAGTTACCTGCCCTGATAAAAGCTTAGAGTAGATTCTAGAGACATTTGGTAATATTCACCTTTATAACAATACCTAAGTATTTTGTTTTTTTTTTTAATTTTCAGAGTGAAAGAATAGAATTGTTCAAACATCTGTTAACGGATAAGATTCGTCAAGAGTTTGAAGTGGAGGACGATGACGTCATCAAGCTGGCTATGGACACCGCTGGCAGTAGCGTCAGGGAAATCACTGACTATCTCAACAAGAAAATATTCAAAGCTGTCAAGAAGAAAAGTAAGTTATATGAATATGTTCTTTTGTATGAGATTTTGTTGGATGAGTGTGATATTTTTAGAGCCAAAAATTGCCAAAGTTCATTTCCGCCGCTTGGTGTGGCGAGGTTTTCGCGCTTGTTGAGGGTCATATATGAACCCTGTATTGAACAGTCTAATATAATTAAAAAATCGTCTTTGGAACATGCTAGCGATTTAAACAATAGCCCTCGTTGCAAAGACTTCAGATCGCAGCTTCATGGTTAGACTCAATGGAATTTATTTTCTAGAAGTTTATAAATAACGTACAATTTTATTGCAAGGGTGGAGCGGTAGTTGGGCTACAGCGCAACGTGTCGCGGGATCGATTCCTACACGCAACAACTCTTTGTGTGATCTACAAATTATTGTTCCTGGTCTGGGTGTGATGTGTAATCTACAATTTGGAATGAGCACCTAGCTTCACTGACGAGCAGACTGACAGACTACTTCTCTATTTTGACGTTTCAAAAGTACCTATTTATGGTTTAGTTGGTATAAATGATTTTGACTTTGACTTTATGTGAAAAAGCCCAACATTTTGAATTTTTAAACGTACAAAAAAAAATTATGACTACTTCATTAAAAAGTTAAAAACGAAACTAAAAATAACTGGGTATCTGTTTATTAAAACCTAATTTTTTTTTAACAGAATCGAACCCAGATGTCCCTAAGCCTCGTTTGGTGGAAGATATAACGAAGGACGAAGAAAAAGCCAACGAGTTCGATATCTGGGGTCCCGTGGGAGGGCTGGAGGAGGTCAAACAAGAACTTACGGAGTGTATATTCTGGCCTATCATGGTAAGTAACGCTTATATGAATGAGATTGGATTAGATTATATTTTTATGGGGTTATGTTGTACCTTCTCTTGCCTAAGCTTGACTGACCCACACTTAAATTTCTCCGTCCCTTAACATAATAATTTTCTGGTCTCATCAATTACTGCATTTTTATACAATCATAAAAAACAACTCGGATTATGTTTTTTGTTGCTCATTTTATCTTTACGTAGCGTGCACTTGGCTTCACTGACGATCAGACTGGCAGACTATTATTCCATTTTGTGACTTACATTTCAAAAGTACGTTGGCACCTAACGTACTTTTGAAATGTAAGTTAAGTTTTGGTTTAGTTGGAATAAATGATTTTGACATTGACTTTGAGAACTTTAGTTTGCTGTCTTAATAATATGATGAAAAGTAAAAGTTTTAGAAGACAAATGACATAAGTGACGCTTTAACGCAGTCACATCTGTACAACATTAATATAAACTATTGTTTCTCCACAGTATCCAGCCCTATTTCCATCCCAATCGTGCGGTATCCTGCTGTATGGCCCCCCGGGTACTGGCAAGTCTCACATCGGTTCCTGCCTGGCTCGCCTCGCCAATATGAACATGATCACCGTCAAGGGTCCCGAACTGCTCTCCAAGTACATAGGACAGAGTGAGAAGGCCGTCCGGGATATATTCGACAAGTTAGTATTTCTATAAATTATCTATCTGAAAAGTTTGTTTGTTTCAATGCGCTAATCTCTCGAACTACTGGTTTAATTAAACAATTCTTATGTTGTTTTTTTAAACAATTCATTTATCGAGGAAGGCTATAGGCTATAAAACATCACGCTATGATATGTAGGAGCAGAGCAACGGGTGAAACCGCGCGAGAGTAGCTAGTGTTTGATAAAAAAGGAAAGTGTGTGTTTTATTAATGGCTCGTGAAAACCATCAGTGTACAAAGGTACAAAGGTATAAAAATTGATTAAAAAATTGTTAATAGAGTATTTAATACCTTAGAGAAAAGAAATCCAGTTATGAACTTTCTAAGTTTATTAAGACTACAGTTATATGGTAACGGAAAAACATCATGAGGAAACATGGACTGTGTTTGTAATTTCTAATTATAAATTTAAAAGCGCCAAACCGCCTTGAGTAAGCGTGGTAATTAATGCTCATTCCTTTTCCGTGTGAGAAGAGCCATTTGCACAGCAGTAGGCTGTTATAGGCTGATGATGATGATTTTGATGTTGATGCCCACAAAATTCCAATGAAAGTCATACTTAGGTCCGTTAACAAAGGACTATTGTAGGAAAGTCCTTCATTATAAGCTTAAGTAAGATTACACTAGTAGAGCTTTTCTAGAATGGTCCACGCGTGCCAGCAGTATTTTTAATTTGACTGACTTTCAATTGAATATTGGTTCAAAGTTAGTTTCGACTAAAGTCGGTTGTCCAAACCTAAAAATATCCCTTTATTAAAATGACCAACGAAAGAGTCAAACTCAACACTCAAATATTAATATAAAACGATTAAAAAATAATTTGTTATGTTTATTACAGAGCGGATATGAAGAGGCCGTGTATACTGTTCTTCGACGAGTTCGACAGTCTCGCGCCCAAGTAAGTGGTTTGTAAGTGTCTATACCGCTTCGTACATATATTATAAGCTTTGATTCAATTAGTATTATTTTATAAATGCAGTTCAGTCTCTAATTAAACTGATATATTGAAAGTGAAGTTTTTCACATTATTATAGTCTAGTTTTTGGCTCATCTAGAAACAGAGCTATAACTAAATACTTATAACAATTGCTTATGCAGCTTTTATCGGTGTCTCCTTTTTTTTAGAATGCCTTTTAGTCCAAATATCATTTTGTCAATTCATATTTAATATCAAGCAAACCTAACCTAATTTATTGTTGTTAATTTTTTTCTCGTTTTCCTCCCAGACGAGGTCACGACTCCACAGGAGTGACAGACAGGGTAGTGAACCAGTTGTTATCCCGGTTGGACGGCGCGGAGGGGGGCGCCCGGGGGCCCGTACTGGCCGCTACCTCGCGGCCCGACCTGGTGGACCCCGCGTTGCTGAGAGCGGGCCGGTTGCAGCGACATGTGTATTGTGCCCTGCCTGATAAGGTGAATAGTTTACTTAACTGATTGTATTGATTTTATTGGTGTCAGGATATTAAAGGCCAAATAATACATTTGTTGTTCTAAGTACCTAATGATCTAAGTAATCCTTTGCATAGTATATGTAAAAATGCTAACGCTATTTGCACACACTAACACCCGGTTTCCGAAAGGCCGATTAATGTTAAAATCAATTTAATCTCTTGTCAAGTCATCTGATTGGTTGACTGAATTATCAACAACCAATCAGATGACTTGACAAGAGATTTATCAGGAGATTAGTTAATTTTAGCGTTGACAAGCCTTTCAGAAACCGGGTGTTAGATATTTTACACGATATATTTAGCACTTTCAAATCAATTCTACTACAATATAACGCTGTATGATTTAATAGATCATTCAGGTCTTATTCTCAATAATTTAGTTCATTATAAAATTGTACCTAATTATGTCTTATTTTGTTCTTTACAGCAAGGTCGTTATGAGGTTCTCAGAACGTTAACGAAGAGTGTCCAAGTGGATGATGCGGTAGACCTTCAGGATCTAGCGGAGAGGACGGAGGGGTACTCGCCTGCAGACCTCAAGTCTATTCTAGTCACAGCTCAGCTTACAAGATTGGAGAACCAATTGGTAGGTATCGGAACTCTTCTGACGATTATACTTTGTGAATAATAAAATTTTAACTCTTTTCATGTCAAAACCACACAATTAATTGTTTACATTTTATGTAGATACTAACTTTTACCCACGGCGTCGCCCGCGTGGTTTTAGGGTTACCCTGTCCGGGATAAAAAGTATCCTATACCTGTCCCAAATTTCAATCAGATCCGTCCGGCCGTTTTGGCGTGATTGAGTAACAAAACATCCAAACACCGTAACAATATATTCGCATTTATAATATCAGTAACATATGTATCTTAAAGTATAATAATAAAAGTTTTGTGTCTTGTCAAATATCTAATGTCACTTACAAGATGGCATGGGAAACAAAGTTGACGATTTTATATTCTGTAAACGATTTTTTTTATATTTTCTTAGCGTTGAAATTTTCTCTAGACAACGAATATTTCAAGAGCAAATTTATCTGAGTCGGTCGAGTCGTTTCATAGTTTTAGCAACACTAACGAATAGCAATTCATTACTATACCTATTGTAAAAACAAAACCGCTTTCTCTGTCCCTACCTATATTCCCATTTATGATTAAATATTTAAAACTACGTAACGGATTTTGATAGTTTTTTAATAGATAGAATTGCAGAGTAAGGTTTATATGTATACTAACATCTATTAAGTTGTGGAGAAATTTAGTATCAGCATTGCATCTGCTGCTAGTAAAATAATACCACTATTTTCTTTCTAGGCGACAAATGAGGAGAAGTCGATGGAATCGGTGGTGGTGTACAAAGAGGACATAGAGAGTGCCTTAACGGAGACCAAACCTTCGCTGTCCGTGCAGCAGAGACTGTTCTACGATATGATGTGAGTTCTATGTTCTGTCTCATTAGGGTAATAAGTCTGGTAACTGTATATTCATGATGGTGATGCAATTTCTATAAGTCTTTTCGGCCACAGTTTTAATCTACATCATCAGCCCATATAAACCTGAGCTCTTCTCACACGGAGAAGCTTAGAGCCTTAATCACCACGCTTGCTCAAGGCGGATTGGCGATTTCAAACTTATAATTAGAAATGATTGGTCCAGCTTTTGTCAAGAGGCCTTTCCTCAGCGATGGGCATTTAGAGGCTGATGATGTGTGTTAAAATCTTAAATTTCATTTCAGATACAAAAGGTTTCGAGGTGAGAGCTTGACTCCGGAACAGAAGATGTTATCTAGCTTTCAAGGGAAACAAAGAGTAACGCTAGCTTAAAGTTCTTCACTTATTTTATACTGCATTCTGAACTAGATATATTTGGAACTAAAATACGAAGAAAAAAAGGCAAAAGCTTGTAAAAAACTGACTATATGACTGATATAATATGTATATTAAGCCCTTTTTTTCTCAAAAGATGTATATATTTTAATTGTTGTTCATGTAAAAATCAATACACAGACCATAGGAGTTTTTGTGTCGGCAAAGGAAACAGTATTTGAATAATGACTTTGACTTTGGAAAAATTATAAAAATGGTTTTCTATATTCAGATCTCTAACCTAATCCACACAACATGTTATCACTAAATTGGACGTTAAATGTTTGGTAGCTACTGTGATTGGCAAAATTGCCTTCTGGTGCGGCGCCATCTAGTGAGCAACAAAATTGTAACATCTATTGTAAAAGAATACAAGACAAAAATGTACTTAACAATCTCTTAAATTATAATAACCGAGCTTTTAGAAATAATTTTCTGACCAAATATTTGTACCATTGAATATTATACCTCGACCGAATATTTATTAGAATCATTTTTGACACCAGTATTCCTCGTTTTCTTCATATAATTTGTGCAATAACTATAGTGAGAAATACAAAACAATATTGAAAGGAACGGCTTAATCACGTAAATGAATTGGCGGCAATGTCGAGCAGCCAACGCACTCTATTTATAAATAAAATATTATAATAATTCATGCGATGTCTTTATTCTCAAAACATAACAAATAATATGTATTAAATGTTTTTTTTCCTATTGTAATGGAATTGATATTTTGAGTGCTATGGAAGCTTAAGTTTATTAAATAATCCTTTAATCTTTCTTGTGAATGGGAATCTGGGAATGTTCCTGTCGTGACGTATATGCAGCGTTTTGATCATTCTTGTGGATGGGAATCTGGGAATGTTCATGTCGTGCCGTATATGCAGCGTCTTGTTTGTGCTAGTGACTCACAATGCCTTTGTTTCTAACACACAAGGTTATTTGTCCCTTACAAATACCTTCACAATGAATGTTTCATAAAAAGGTAAAAAAAACACTCAGTTTCATAAAAATATTACCTGTATCAATACTAACAAAATTTTCTTCTATTTATAGTTATTATTTATGTGATACGGCGGCAAATGAGCTTTTTGATTACCTGATGGTAAGCAATCGGTGCCGCAGATGGATTGGGCTACCAGTAACCTCACTTGCACGGCAACATTAAATGCTGTGGTTGTTTCACGTTGGTTTTCTGTGAGACTGAGTTATTGTTTTGGTCGAGCCTGTTCGTTCTTGCTGAAGCATAAAATTAAGAATTTGTGTACCACTCTTCTTTGATAAATAGCTTCTTTGAATAATATTTTATAGGTTTTAGTATATTGTCAACGTTCAGTAACGTTCGGATAAAAACACATGCCACCATTGTTTACATTTAGTTAATTAAAATTACCTAAACTGATAGACCATATATGTTTATTGACATAGAGAGTGACGTCATTATTTTTTTAAACTGCCATGGTAAAGTTTCGCTTATGTGAGCCCAAAAATGCTTGAAGCTGTGATGAATAGTTTAGTAATTATATAAAATATGATAAATAGGTGCTAAGGCTAATATTAGGTACTAAGCGCACACACTTAAATAACTAAGTTGATTTGTTTGTATATTTTGTTGCAAATTTTGAAATTTTAATTTATAAAGTTATTATGGTTGAATCGGTTTTAATAATGACTGTGTTTTATTTCTTGTTACCTATTTTATTTCCTCCCTTTTGTTTTCATTCGATTGTTATTGTATCCGATAATTGATACACCTCAAAGGATGATACATTACAATAAATTATCATACTTATAAGTATATTGTTGTGACACTATGGTATTTAAAAAAGTAACTCGTCACACACTGATTTTCCCCTATTCAAGAGTGCGTTAAAAATCTTACAATTTTACATATCTACACTTCGCACCCAGATCCTACACAATAATATGTAGATCACACAAACAGGGGTTCAGTGCAAGAATCGAACTTGTAAAACTGCATGGCGTTCCGTTGCCGGATCACTACGTCGACCGCAGTCTTAATTTTAATACCATTATTGTAACACAAACATATTGTAGCACTTGATCAGATTTTATTTATGGAATAGGTGTCAAACTAGCTTACGGTTGACCCTGATGGTAAGACATCAGCGCCGCCCTGCAGCACCAGAAAAGTACGCGTGTTTTGAAGGTTTGGGGTCCAATCTGTTCGGAAATAATGTCACCAAAAGATCATTTCAAAGTTTTGCTGGTGGAGGCAAAAAGTTTCGCGAAAATAGCACACAGAGTTTACTTGTGAGCACGACCTGTGCAAAGGTCGAACATAATATTTTCCGCGTTAATACCCGCGTAACTACTTATATGTTGTAAATATGAAACGCGAAAGTTTAAAAGTTAAAATAGCACATTTGTTGACTGCCACCCATCTTTATGATGGAGATGAAACTGTTTTCGCGTGGGTCAATGGTGAAAGGAATCGGCGGGAATTAAACCGAACCATTCCTCGGACCCGTCTCCGTGGTACCTATACATAATATAGGACACATCGAAGTTAAATCCCTGCACAGATATCATTTTTTTAGAATATATTACTCTTAGACACAAAGTAAAACCATAACAGAAAATAACCAACTTCCAAATGATCCCATACTGTCTCCTTGCACATTTCAAATACGTTTTCTTCGCGAGCATTCCATATCTAACGGCTTTCGACGAAGCTAGCTAGCTAATTATGTCGCTACTTGATGGGTTAACTTTTATCAGTATCGAGTTAGTGGCGCCCTCTACCGCTGTTAATTAGCACTGCCAGGAGATTGAATATTGATAATATCTAATTGATGGCCTCTTGAATTACTGTAGTATTGGCATTTGGTTTTGTTAATTGAATTGTGAGTTTAAGTTAAGATATACAATACTTGTATCTAATGAATATTTAAATTATAGAAAGACAACGATTCCTATGTATGTACCTTGTTTTATTATTTACAATATTAGATGAGACGGTTAAAGAAAAATAAATTATTTCGACTTTTCAATAGGTTCTATCAATATTTTTTTAATATTTCATATATGAAAAAATAAACAATGTAATGTAAGTAGATACATTTTAATTGTTTGTAAATGACAAAGGTTGTACGATCAGCTCTACAATGGCTGAAGTGGCGATTTCATGAAAAGTGGACAAAACGCGGTTTGTTGTAGAGAGGACAGCTTATTTACCTCGTGGAGTCATCGATAGATGGCGCTATTGTGACGTAAGATTCTTATTAGAACGTGAGTTAATTTTGTTATGAAAAGCGGCTTGTTTTTATAAAACATTATCGTTATAATATCTAAGATAATCTTGAGAACGGTTTTATACTGAACATAACAAAATTATCTTATAATTTATATGAAAATAACAAAATTAATTACAAAAACACTAAATAATATCAAAATTATCAACATATTTAATTAACGCAAAACTTTCTCGGCGCCATATTTAGATGTGTACAGTCTTACTTACAGCAGAGGCTGAGATAAGCGTGTTTTATTGAAAAACTTAACCGCTGGCGCAGTTTTGATTAAGATTAGTTCGTAACTTGCACAATAATTTAGATTGAGCGGTGATTTGGAACGCGAGACTCGCGGGTGCCGCGCTGTGAAATTTCGCGGTACGCAGAACAATAATTCTGTTACTGGATGGTGTATTAAATAAACTTAGTAGGTACCTATATTTGGTCTTTAAATATTTCATATGTAATATTTTTTGTCATTGTTTTCTATCAACACCTCACATATAAGGTACTAATTTCGGTTTCTACTATTTTTTTTTACTTAATCGGTAGTACAAAAGTTTAATTTTTAACGTAGTGATGTAGGTGTAGTTACTGTCACAGATGGGGCCCAAACAGGGTCAGGGATATGTTAATATGTTATGTTTAATATGTTCAGCCGGGATAGCGGGGCAAGCGCAATAAGGTACCGGGGCGTAGCTCGGGGTAGGAACGGGTTGACTTTTAGTCAGTAAGATTCTGCTGACTCGCCGTCTCGCCCTTTCCAAGGCAGGAGAACAAATTGGACGATAGCTCTGAAATAAAAAAGAAAAAAATCCATAAAGGCAGTCATTGCCACATCTAGCAGAAACAGCGCTTGCACCAAACCTCCATGGCAGCAATCTTATAAACTTTGAACGTCGGTTAATAGCTTAACACGGGTTCGTAACGAGTTGTTTAATGAATTAAATCTGTATTAACTGCTCCATACCGTCGGGTATATTTCATAGCACACGCCCCGTATAAGATAAACATTTAACTCATCTTATAAATAAGTGCTTATGTCATTGTTTTAGAAGTCATTTCCGCACTTGATTTAATTAGGTAAGTTGGTTTTCGAATGTTGTTTTTGCTTTAGACAATTTTCAGCTGGGATTGCGGGTACAATTATGTATCGTGATCGGCCCTTAGGAGAAGAAGAAGGAACGAAGTAGTTTTTGTTCAGTAAGAATCTAACACTCCCTCTTTCAAAAAAAGAGGGTTGGTAAGTTATAGTATAGTATAGTATAGCATATAGATATAGTTATAGTAGTCGGTTCTGAAGAAATAAGGGTCTAGGTTAGTTGACCTGTTGGAGGGGTCTATGGGCAGGATTGGATTGAAAGGTGGATTATTATAAACCACGGGCTGATTGATGGAAGGTTGACGATGTTACACACGTATTAATTTTCTCATGGAATCCAATATTTTCGGCGGTAATTTGCTTTGAAATATAATTTGACTCTCCCAAAATTAATTCGTTTTATCCCAGTGTTTTTCTTTTATAGATACGAAAAAAAGTATTCTACATCTACATCATAACTGTTTTTTACCCTTAAAAAATCGTAATTACATTACATAAAAAATGTTAAAGAGAATCAATAAGAAAACCGTGACCGGAAAAATCAACCGTTATGAAAGAAGCGTGCCTATCTAAATTCAAGGAGAATCGTTTGATAAATAAAGGGGCCTTTGTATCCAAGGTCCAAAGCGAAGGTGGCAAGGTGAAATTACGGCCCTTGTCCGTACCAAAGAAAGCACTTTTTATTCGGCTTAAAGTAATTATTGTGTTTTTGTGAAAGAGTTTGTTAGCGGACCATTCAGCCGGGACGCGGACGCTTTCTTGATGGCGGGACGGACTTGGGAAGCCGAGACTTCGAGTAAAATAAAACGAATAATGCTGATACTTATGTCTTTTTATGGTCTTAGTTGTAGTGTATTTATTTTTCTTTCCTTTCAAAAAGTGTCATTATAATATTTATAAATTTTATGATTCTAGTCTATTGTATTCATATACACAAATGAGTCAGAAATTCACCGTAAAACACTCGTAGCACCGTAGTGCAGCTAATTAGCGTAGCCGCCGAACGTTCGTAGACCTTCGTCGTAGCTGTGTTCAACTGAGTTTTGCGTAGGCTTATTTCGTAGGCTGCTACGAATAGTGAATTTTGTATTCTTATGTTCTATCTTAATGATGTATTTTTTGTTTTCTATTTCAACAGGTAACATCATTGTTCTTTATTAATATAAATTAAAAAATGAAATAGTGCAATTCAAATAGAAATATTAATGGTTTCTATTGAGAAAAGGAATAAAAAATAAACGCATAAATTGTGGTACATTAAACGATACTTAGTGAATACGAAAAGTTTCTTTTACAAAATATTTCTGTATAATATAACTAGCACCACCCAAGTCCGTCCCCTCTCATTGCCCGGAATATTCTTGTTTTCCTCGAGTTTTCTCAGCTTTTCTTCGCGTTTTCTTTCGTTTGGTGCCTTAATTAGCTCATTCAGTGGCCCCTTTGCGCCGCACACCCCACCACACCCCCTAAATTATCTTATTTATTGAAAGCACTTTTTATATTACATTTTGACAACCCGAATAACAGTATTTAGTGAACATTTATAGATCTGTTTACCCCCTGAAAAGCGAATAAGGTGATATTTTATCGCTCGGTCGATGAACTTTATTCATTTTTTTTTCGATATGATCAAATATTTATAGGTTAACAGTTTACGTTTACGTGCCTATCTTTCCCCGTTTTATTTGATGTCGTTGAGACGTGTTTAAATTGTGTTGTTATAAAAAAAATGTTTAAAATATTCGATATGTTAAGGCTGTTTAAATAATCACAGTAAAAATATTTTATAGCCTTCTACATTGAACGAAATGGTGAATATTAAGTTTCGATTCCTAACAAAATATTATCTTAGCATTTAAGGTCATATACTCTTAGTTTTAGCCTTAGTCATATCAGCCGGGGTTGCGAGGTAAGCGGAATGAAGCACCGCGACCTCGGTCAGTAAGAGTCTGACACTCCCTCCTGTCCGATCCTGGGCGGGAGAAGGCA